TTGCCGACTTCAGCCTCAGCCTCAGCCTCTCCGGTCAGTCTCGCTTTTCACCGGGGAAGCCCCGTGCTGTCGGGTGCGGAGGTGACGTGCTGAGAAGCAGAGGAGCAGCGTGGAGGAGCAGTGTGAAGGAGCAGGGCTGCGTGGTGCTCGAGAGAAGTTCAGAGTTTGTATCGGAGTTGTTGCAAGCCTCCATCCAAACTCACCTGGATAATAATTAATTTTATTCCGGATCACGTTGTTGGCCCCTGTTGACCTGAAACGAGCTTGGACCATGCCTTTCACTTCAGGAGGATTTTCTGGCAGCTCGCTCTGCTATTTGCTGCGAATTATCTGTTTCTGTTTTGGCCTGTTGATTCTGGACCCAGCTTCTGTTTCCCATAGGAGCATCCATCCTTCTTCACTGGGGGGCCGGAGCCCCCCTCAGCCCAACTCAAACTGCAGTTGGGCCAACTCGTCGGGTTTGTTTGCCCATTTGAACTGTGACGTTTTATGGTCTGAAACTTTTCTGCACCATTCATATTACTGTCTACTTATATTTTATTTTTTGGAATCTAGCTGTTTTTTGTTTTGTTACCTTTTCCTTTTAGCCATCCTATTTGTTTAAAAAAATAAAAAATAAAAAAAAAATAAAAAAAATAATAAAAAAACTGTAGTATGCTTTTTTTATAACTGTTTATTGTTGTTGCTGTTGTCCATTGTTGTCATCTTTCTTTGTTGAAATCAGGTCTCTCTTGTAAATGAGTCCTCGAGGCTCAATGGGATTTACCTGTTTAAATAAAGGTTGATTGATTGATTTTCAGTTCTCAGATTATCTGGAGTCATTGAATCTTGTTAATACACCTGAATCTGTCCATCACTGCAACTTTCACTGTTTTTAGATTCTGAATGATCGCGTCTTCATTAATGTTTCTCATGGTTCGATTATGGGGGCTAATTGTCACAATGTTAACTCCTGTAATTACACATCAGTCACAAAAAACTCAAGAAAATGTCTGATAATAATGTTGTTACTGCTCTCAGGGATTCAGCCCAACCCTGGACCCCCCACTAATTACAGCACAACAAATGACTTTAAAAACGCCTCTGGGCTCCATTTTCTGCATGTAAACGCTCGTAGCCTTCTGAAAAAACTGGATGCTTTGAAAATCCTGGTCAGTTCTTCTGGGGCAGATGTAATCTTTATTTCTGAATCCTGGCTGAACAAATCTGTAATGAATAATGATGTGGCAATCAATGGATTTAACATCTACCGCTGTGATCGTCAAAAAAAGGGGGGTGGAGTCATTATTTACATTAGAGATTCTCTGGTTTCTAGTCTTGTGTCTTCCAAAACAATTCCAAACCAGTTTGAAGCCTTATCTGTAAATATCACCTTGAATGGAAGCCAGATTTTAACTGTAGTCTGCTGATACCGCCCCCCCACAGCATCACCTGAGGCATTGACTGCCATGATGGAATTTCTTGGTAATTTAAAATTCACAGAGGTCCTTTTGGCTGGAGATCTCAACATTGATTGGTGTAAGTTGACCCCCCTCTGTGATAAATTCAAGGAATGTTGCCCGTCTCTCAATTTAAGCCAACTGATCGACTCTCTCACTAGATTACATAAAAATCGTCCTGATAAAGCCTCCATCTTAGACCTGTTTCGAACTAATATGCCTCACAAATTCCCTGGTACAGGTGTATTCGCTGATCTTTTGAGTGATCATTGTGTGACAGCTGCTTTGAGAGATATTAAACTTCCACCATCTAGTTCTTTATTTGACACAGTTACTAATGGAAGATCAGCCACTTCACTTAATAACCAAACTTCTACAAATCAAATCCCTCCTACAAGTCAATCCTCATTTAATCACACCTTCTCTTTTTCTCCGTTCTCAGTCAGTGAGGTCAATAAACTGTTAAAAGATCTTGACCCTAAAAAATCTGCAGGTCCAGATGAACTTCCACCTTATTTTTTAAGGCTGGCTGCTCATATCATCACAGTGCCTTTGACCCACATCTTCAATCTCTCCATAAGACAAAACTCCATCCCAGACACTTGGAAACAGCCTTTGTTCTTCCTTTGCTGAAGGGAGGAGACCCCACCTCACTGAACAACTATGGACCAATCTCTAAACTCTGCATTTTAGCCAAGGTTCTAGAAAAACTGATAAACTCTCAAATCAAAAATGACCTGGACTCATTTAACATCTTACCTCCACATCAATCTGGTTTCAGGAAACAACACAGCACAACCACTGCTTCACTGAAGGTTCTTAATGATGTTGTTGAAGCACTGGATGCTAAGGATTATTGTGCTGCACTTTTCTTAGACCTGTCTAAAGCTTTTGATAGTATGGATCAGAACATCTTGTGTCATAAACTCTCAGAAATTGGTTTCTCAGAACATACCATTGGTTGGTTCTCTAACTATCTTTCAGACCGGAGGCAATGTGTTCAACATAATGGTACTTCCTCCAGTTATTTAACAGTCAACAATGGTGTACCACAAGGCTCAGACTTAGGACCCACCCTCTTTACAATCTACATACATAATGTAGGTAAGAACATCCCTAATGCATTCATACATTTCTATGCTGATGACACAGTTGTTTATTGTCGAGCTAAAACTGTTGCTAAGGCTTTCCAGCTTTTGAAATCTGCATTCAACATCATCCAGACTGATTTGTTCCGCCTCAAACTTGTCCTAAATGCCAACAAAACAAAAGGGATGCTTTTTTCAAATAGGAAGTTGGTCCCAGCAGTTCTTCCTCCGATTTTATCCTCAAATGGTGTCTCCATTGAGTTTGTTGATTCCTATAAATATTTGGGTATCTTGGTCGACTCACATCTCTCTTTTAAGCTCCATGTGGAAAACTTGGTAAAGAAACTCAAAAGTTAAATTGGGTTTCTTTTTCAGAAACAGATCCTGTCAAACACCCTGAATGTTAGGAAACACCTTGTATCTGTGACTTTCCTTCCCTCAATTGATTATGGTGATATTATGTATATGAACGCTCCTATAAGAACCCTACAGATGTTGGATGCTGCAGATGTTGGATGCTGTCTATCATGGTGCACTAAGATTCATAACTGGCTGTGATTATCGTACCCACCACTGCACCCAGTATTCACTGGTTAACTGGACATCATTAACTTCACGCAGACTCTCTCACTGGTACATTTTCATCTTTAAATCTCTTCTTGGTCTGCTGCCTTCATACATCTCCTCCTACTTGTCTCTGCGTGAGTGCAGCTACCGAGTGCGCTCTCAGGACATTATTACCTGCAGTGTTCCCTCAGTGAGGACTGAACTAGACAAAAGGACCTTCTCCTACTCCGCTCCTGTTTCCTGGAATATCTTACAAAAAGATTTGAAGCTCTCAACCTTGACCTCTCTAAGTGTCTTTAAGAATCTGTTGGACACCTGGCAGGGTCCAATGCTGACATGTTCCTGTTTTTAGTTTTCTACATTTGTCTTGGAATCTAGCTGTTTTTTTTGTTTTGTTTTTTGTTTGTTTTGTTACCTCGTCTTTTAGCCATCCTATTTGTTAAAAAAAAAAACAAAAAAAAACTGTAGTATGCTTTTTCATAACTGTTTATTGTTGTTGCTGTTGTCCATTGTTGTCATCTTTCTTTGTTGAAATCAGGTCTCTCTTGTAAATGAGTCCTCGAGGCTCAATGGGATTTACCTGTAGAAATAAAGGTTGATATATATATATATATATATATATATATATATATA